GATGCTCTTCCAGCTGGCTCTGAGGACTTTGGAGCTATTTTTTTAATTTATGTAATTTATTTTCCTATCACATATGGCCACAGAAACAAAAATAAGTATTAAAGAATTATAGTTACAAAACTTGTAAAGCAGAACAATATGCACAATTACTTTTCTCTTAGACACACATCTAGAAAGGAGAAACTTCATATATTACTTTTTGGTGCTTTCATTCTACTGGTCATCCCATCAGGAGAACTGTTGTTCTGGTAGCTGTTCCGATAGCAACTTTATAGGAGTTCTACTTGTATCATTATTAATAACCAGTATGTAAAGTTTATGACCTTTTTTCTGTAACAGGATTACTTACAGCTTGTTTCTGAACTACAAAGACTTTTTACAGTCTCTTGCAGTACAACTATCCCAACTATAAACACTTCTACTACAGTTATTCTGTTTAACCTACTACCTATGAAGTCTCTTCCTCCTCCGCATGTCAAATAAAAGGAGAAAAAGGGAATGCAATGAACAGCAGACATGCTAAAGTAAACTGAAATGATTCAGACAAACTGAAATAATGTTTTTTGTGGATTTTGTTCCAGTTCATTAATGACTTTTAGGGCACTCACCTAAAAAGGTAGAGACACGTTCAAGTTTCTGCTCCAATGAACATTTAATATAAAACAATGAATATTTATGGGACCGGGGAATGGAGTCTAGGTCTTCCCCCCAATATTGAATACGTAAAGGACTGGTCCACTGGATGAAAGATGGCCCAGTTTTTTTAAAGACAAGACTGATCCCCATCTCAGTGTTTTTGGGGAAAAAAGGCATAGGCATACTAAATATTAAGAGAGAGTTCAGGACTGTGAATCCCAAGTGACTCCCCTTAGTTCCGTGTAAGGTACCTACGGGCAATTATACACTTGCTCCGGGTGTGAGGGGTGGGGCTCTATAATTAAAGCGGCTCTAAGGGCCACTCTAACTAAAGGACCTGAAACATCATGTGTATCGTCATCCTTACACTGAAAACTGGCAGCAGGAGTGCTTTAACTAAAGTTCATTGAACAAGCTTTAGTTAAAGTGCCTCTGGCACCATTTTTCATTGTGGGGATGCTGATATACATGACACTGGAGTCTGCTGGAGCATGGCAATTACCATGTTCCAGCAGACTTGATTAATTGAGTCTGCTCCAACACACTGTAATTGTAATTACAGCACGTCAGAGCAGCCTGGCTGCACATGTATAGGCACCCTAAGTCCACTAGAATTTGAGATTCATGAAGGTAGGATTCTCTTCTCAGTCTTTCCTGTTGGCTCCCTGCTCCTGTTGTCTTCTGTGCAAATAATGTAGGCAGCTAAATGTTTTCATGCATTGCATACAAAGCCAAAGTTCCTATCTTAAGTGGTGTTCATTTCACAATGTGTCTAATGCAACATCTGCTTCCCTTTTGTGAATGTGACTCTAAGTGGCTTTAGCTAGGTGTCATGTGACAACTTTGTGCTGGAACACAGAAGGTTACTGCTTTAACCACTGCTTCTCCTTGAAGGTTTGAATTCTAAACCAAACCTACATAGGCTAAGCCTAAACTAATTCCTCTATTACACTACATCTCTCCCCAGGTCTGAAAAAGGCAAGTTGTGTAGCTTTTCTACAGATCATGATATAACTTGTGGTTCCAATGAAAAATGAGTTTGATTTAAAAAATACTTTCAAAACATTCAAAGGATTAATTGAAACATTCAAAGTATTAACTGAATTAGTAGTGTACCTAAACATAAAGTGAAGCTATTTTAAGTAGCTACAGTAAACTTTTCATTAGTGGCTATCTTGAATAAACTCCTCTAAAAATGTGTTGCGTTTTGTTTGGATTCCACGAACAGCTTCAGCAATCGTCCATCTGTTCTATGTACTGTATTTGTGAGAAAAAAACATATTGAGCTCCTGAATCACGTTGTTTTCTCACTTTCACCTCTGTAAATCTGAAATTCTACTAATTCTACTATTAGAGGAGCTATGGTTCTCTTAGACATAACAAACATAAGTACATTACCATGGTTCTGGGCAAAAGAGCCTTGCTGATGCATTGGAAGAGAAGGAAGAAATGATTTATTTAATATTCCTTTTCTAGACAGTTGCTTTTTCATCAAATTGAAGAAAGATTTTCTCTGCCTTTTCTTTAACCCTTTTATGTGAATTATAGAGTTTAGTGAAGACACTACGGATCTAAAACAGCATCCTTGTGACTGCCAAAACAACTTGAAACTCAGAGTAAAGGAATCAGTCACAGCAAACTTAGGATAGATATTTGCATTCACAGTTTGCTAACTGACAAATAACCTGGTAGTGATGCGAATGACTGCATGCTGATTAACATACAGTATGTATAAGATATAACCATATGGTGACTGTGAAAGAGAAACTAAGAACCCAAGTGGAGGGCAGAGGTACTAGGACCCTAGGCAAACACAGAATTGGAGGCGCCCTCCCCCCATGGGAGCTGGGCTGCTGTGTCACCTCAACAAATTGTCTTTTCCAGTTAAAATGAGCGCAAGTCAAATGTCCAGATCTTCTCTTTGCTGCATGATATGGCATTCTTTAAAATATTTTAAGAAAAAGGCTAAGTATGACTTTCTCCTATTTGAATTAATGCTAGCTAGCCTTAAATTAAGCTCTATTATATCCACTGATATGAAGTGGATATAACATTTTTCATTACATCTGGAATTAAAATTGTCTAGCTGACACCTTCTTGTTCATCTCATAACAATTACTGTGAGGGAGAGTCTGTAGCAAGAGCAGTTAATCTGATTTCTGTATCAATTCAGTATATCAAATTATATCAGTTTAAGGTAATTACTTCACTCAAGACTGTGTACATAGTTAAAATGATGGGACTGTAACTTCTTTGTAGGGCTTAAGCATAATGGGATGTATTACACTATACTGTCTGTAAAATAATTACCTTTATAGGTTTAAAATGATTATTTTACCAGAACAAAAAACACGATAGTGATGAGGACTAAATATAACTGAAGTGAAAAACAAACAAACAATGGGTCACAATGAAAAATGTCACTTCACATATCTCATGTGAGTGTATAATATGATCATCAACTTGAATGTTATGGCGGTTATTAACATAATGGAAAATTTATTAGCTATTAAAGGTGGTTTGGATTTCAACTTCAATACGGTATTCATTCTATGTTCAACTGTATTCTCTTGAAAAGCACTTTTTTTGTAAAGATGCTGAATTTCAGAATAGTAACCCCATTTTTTCTACAGACAGATGCAATGCTATTTTGAAGATGTGATCATTTAAATTACAAAATCCTTTTGCAGTAACAGAGCTGCATTAAAATTCTTTTACATCAGTATCTAAATGCTTAGGGTTCAATTATGATCTCAGTTCTATATATAATACTAGAAAATCCTATGCATTTGAATGGCTGGTCAAAAATGTAACCAGAACATTTTTAGGGATTGATGTCCCCATCAAGTGTTTTACTGTATATTAGAAATACATGCCTATCATGCTTGGCTGCATGGTAGCATTCCGCAAACTGAGTGTTGTTGAAGCTACATCCCAGGTTTAAAAGGGAAATTTCTGATAACAAACTTCTCTCTACTTTAATTATGCTAAGACCTAGACCAATTTTCTTAAGACCTAAAATTAGGTTCCTAAAGTTATATTTATCAACTAGTGAGTGGTCTAATTTTCAAAATGTTGAGGCTCCAGGAGCTCCCATTAACTTTAATTAGATGTTGCTGGGTTATCAGCAAATTTAAAAAATAGCCTGTTGAGACATTTATCTTGGAAGGATGAAGATCTGGCAGTCAGATGTCTATGCCTGTGTACATAGTTATAGCATCCCAGTGTTCTCAATTCTCTTGATTCTACTTAAGGCCCCGATTAGCTTAATGAGATTGAAACTCTGTACTTTCAATGCTCTTATTTTTGCTTTTTAAAAATAAGCATCTAGCCCACATAGTTTTGGGGAAAATCTTGAAAATGTGAACCCCAAAGGTTCAACAGCTAGAAAACAAATAAAAAGAATCTAAAATATATTTTTCTTTAAAATTTCAGTAATTTGAGGGCCTTATTTGTGATTTTTGAATGCTGGAAGCTGCTTTTTTGTTTTTAGAATACCCTTAGAAGTACTGACTGTGTACTTTCACCTTCATGCTGCCATCCTGTGGTGGCTGACAGTAAATATGCTATTGTTATGCAATGTTCTCAATGCCAGTGAATGAACAAAGTAGTTGGAATGCTTCTAGCATAGCAGCAGGGAAGTTGGCTTTGTCTTTGTCTTCTATTTACAATAGACACAATGCTCTATCTCTAAAAAAGGAAACATAAAAGCTCTCTCTAAGCACTCTCCCCCAGGACCTCCAGAAGCATTCTTTTTGCCTCAGTACTTCACAAGGCCAAATGCTTTAAACAATTATGTGCATATGGTACAGCTCTCTCTTCTCTATGGTAGGCTTGTAAAAGGCATAACGGAACTCTACAAGTCATTTCTGTATTCTGCCTAAAGGCCTATTCAAATGGCTATGGTATCTCATAGCGTTGTAAGGAAAAAATGCTGTATACTACCTTTATAAATGTAACAATTGTGTATTCGTTCACATAAACTTTATCTAGTGAAAAATGTACAGTTCTATTAGGACAAAAGATCAAAATTCAAACCAAATGATATTTGCTTTATAGTGAGAAACTAAAATCCCTTTGTATATTTTCAAAAAGGAGAGTATATCTATGGCAATACAAGCAGAAATGTTAGACTATGCATACATTCGCAAAAAGAGTTTTGAATAGTGCATATTCATTTTTAGTTTACTCCAACAAGTAAAATGGAATGTACTTTCAGATTCTGGGTCAAAGTGAAGTTGTTCAAAGATACTCTATCAAACTGTATAAACATTATGTTCTTGAGTTTTACACAATATTTTAAATAACCCTGGTACTCTTTCACCTTTTCAAACAAAATAGTGTTGTAATACTACTATCTTTACCTTAGTATATTGCTCACGCTCATGTTCTTGACTAGAACCAGACCCTGTTGTCTGATTATAACGGTGTACTTTCATTTTCATCTGTCTTGTTCGCTCCTCCACTACTAAGCTTGCTGTAAAAACACATAATGGAAGCCTGTTAAAAGTGGCGAAAAAGTGTTAAAGAAATAAATGGTTTAGCATCAATTTTTCATCTTTTTTCTACCTCAACAAAACAAAGAAATATACAAACAGTACAACAAGCAGGGTGTAAACACAAAACAGAGGCACACTGATGTTAAAAGAACTACTTGAGGTGCCTGGAATCTTCACCGGAAAATGAACAGATATCCCAATTGTCCACAAACTATCAGGCTAGTGCAGTGGATATGAAAAGAGCAAAAGACTAAAAGCTGGTAAGCTGATCTAGACACTCATTAAACCAGGTTAACACCACTTCCACTTGCTACACTGCCAAATTTTCATTCTGCAGGTCAGATCTGGAAGTGCATCTTCTAGACTGTAAGGCTGCAAAAAGACATGAAACCCCCCCCACAAAAAACATGCTTTACTAGAAGTGTTAGTTCAACCCAGCTCCACAGCGTCTGTATAGATCACATGCTTCAATCAGCTATTAGATAAAAGCACCAAAAAAGCCTCCACTGAAGCGCCAATCTATACAGATATTGGGCGAGCCGGGTCAAGCTAACAAGATGCCTCTTTTGGGCATGGGCTGGGCTCGGCATACAGGTGTGCCAAGTTCAGTTAAGTAAAGCGCAGTTTTTGGGGGGTTTATGACACGTTGGTAAGCAGCCTAAAAAGCTGTGTGGGCAAAAGTGATACTAGAAGACTTTGGGGATCATTCTTTTTCCTTGAAAGCAGTTAACACAATTAGTACCAATTATGTTTGCAGCGGCAGTGTAACTTAAAAAAAAAGAAAAGGACGATTTGAAAAGTCGTATATCTTGGGATAGTTTGTTTGTGAGACTAGACATTTATTCCCTTGCTGATTATTCAAAGTGGTGGTTTACATATAAGGATTCTCTATTAAAAGCATAAAATAAATTAACTATTAATAGGGGCAATGCATGCTTCCCATAAAGGATTAGATATTCTGCCATACTTGCTTGTATTAAGTAGCATTTTTTTTGCAAAGGCAATTCAAATGAATTTGACTTTTGGATTTGCTACTTTATTACATGAATATAAGGGCTACAACCAGGCTCTAATAATTTTCTACTGGCCACTATACTTAAAACAGTACACAGACAGATGTATTTGTAGCACTATGTATGTCCTTGTGGTGCTATAAAAAGTAGGTGTACAGATATGCACTGTACCTGTAGTGCTCCAAAAATGGCAAAAGCACCAAACAGGAACCTGTGTTTCTGTTTGAAACAGGAACCTCTCTGTAGTGCTATGATTTGTAGTACCACATGTAACATATGTACAGTTACATATAATGCTATGGGAGTCTATTACTCCCGCAGCATCCCACAGTGCTGCTCTCTCTACCCCTCCCAATCCCCAACTCTGGGTGAAGGGGAGAGGGGAGAGGAAGACTCCCCGTCACCTGGAGCTGCAGACTCCCTGACAGCTCATCAGGAGCACAGCTTGCAGGACTGGAGGCTGTAGCTCTGCTCACCACATTGCCATGGTGATGGCAGCATTGTCAGGGTGGTGGAGACCACTGCTTCCATTGTGGCAGGGCCTCAGAGCTGTAGGTATATGCATGTATGTATACTTATACAAAAATATTGTCTGCCTGCCTGCCACTGACATCCCTCTCTTCCCCACTTTCTTGACTGGGAAGAGAGGGATGTCAGTGATCAGCCTCACTGTTGAGCTCCCCCGAGTATGGGGATGGTGAGGAGAGGGTAGAGAAAAGGAAAGAAGCAGTCCTCTGTTGCTCCCTCTCCCCCTCCTGCTGCAAAAGGTTGCAACTTCAGCCAGGGGTCTGTGAAAGCATATACACCCTTCATAGTGCTATTTTCCTTAGCACTTGTACATTTGCACATTTATTAATAGCCTGAGACTTCTATTATGATTGCCAGTTTGCACAGGCTCATAATTTTCTGAAAAAAATCCTCCTGTTTATTTCAAATGTTCTTGCTTTGTTCAGACCAAGGTTTGAGGTTTCATTTACGAAAATCTGAACCAAGCCTTTCCCTCTGTTTCTGAGTCACGAATGGATTTACTTTACGATGTAAAAAAGTTAGGATTTATTCGAGGGTGTTATTTGATGAATTTCTTAAAAATGTCCAAAGTGAAAACTTTCTAGGTGGCTACTTCCAAGGTCAGTGAGAGGAAAAGATACTAGTTACAAGCAGCTCAAAATGAACATTCCAGTCTTGTGTGTGATTTGGGTTGCTGTTTCATTTTTTACTTCTTTACATGTCTACACTTTTTTTACTTTGAAACCACAGAAATATACAGAGAAATCAGTATGAAGATTTTATTGTACAAATACATGTCTACTGAATGTGGATGTTTCAAACATGTAATGTAGGTGCACTGGTTGAAAAAAAATCACTATATAAATGCAGTTTTGAAAATTAGAGGGTTTTCATGTTTTTCTCTCCTATGAAAATTAAATATAACCAATTACATTACTGTTTTGTTATTGGTACAATTTAAAAGGCTTGAAATGAAGACATAAAGTTAAGGTTGTCAGAAGAACTATTAATTTCCCACGTTACAAAGGACTCAAACTGGCAATTCCTACCACATAAGGCCCATTGAATGTTTTGGATTGCTAGTTATTTTGTGAAATGTGTACCTTAAATCAATGGGTCCAGCTCCACCAACAGATACGCAGGCACAGCTCCAATTGACTTCAATGGAAGTTGCATGGAGTTATCTGAGGGTAAAATTGAGCACTTTAGGTGAAATTTTTAAAGATGGTCTCTTGTTTCACATCTGCAATAACTTATAGGCAGATATGAAAGGATTAAGATGCATCACTTTCCTACTCTATTTTTAGTTGAAACTTGAATATCTTAATCCTACCGTATATGCCTGAATTAATAAACTGGAGGGAAATATGAGACCCCTTTAAAAATTTAGGCTAAGTATAGACATTCAGAAAGCCCCTGGCAGAAGAACTGTAACTACTGCACTTAAAGTGCTATAAGTTATAGCAGGAATTAACTGAAAATACATTTATTGCTCAGTGGACGAAAGGGCGGTCACTGCCTGCACTGGGCAAGACCAGCAGGTAGGAGGCTGTCCGGTATGCCTGCCAGAGCCAACCCCGGCCCTCCGCCAGCTGGCAACTGTCAGCAGTACCTGTGGGGGAGAGGGAGGGAAGCTTTCTGACTGGGTCCATGTGGAAAGAGGCTCCCTCCCTCACTCTGCCCCAACTTCTTGAAAGCTGCAGGCAGGAGCTGCGTTGCAGGGTTGCCCAGCTGGCTTTTAACCACTTTGGAAACTGAGCCTTGGCAGGGGGTTGGGAAGGGAGTACCTCCTTGCTGTGCAGACCTGGCCCTGCCCCTGCTCAAGAGCCCAGCCAGCAATCTTGGGGGGTGGGGGGGAAGAGAGGCTCGCAGCAGCCAGTTCCCAGTGCAGCAAAAAGCCAGCCAGGCAGCCCTGTGCTGCAGCTTCTAGATGCCATTGTCAGGAGGCTGAGGTGGGAACCCCCTGCTGTGTGAACCCAGCTTGGCCCACCCCCTCCCCTTGGCCCCTGACAGCAAGCTGGGGGCGGGACTTATGATGGGGGGGACTCCCTTCCCCACCTGCCCCACCCTCTTGACAGCTGCAGCCAGGAGCTGTAAAATGGGGCTGACTTGTCTGGCTTTCTGCTGGGCCTGGAACTCAGGCCAAGGGAGAAGGGAGCTCCCTCCTACTGTGAGGGCTCCCCCCAACAGCTTGCTGGCTGGGGTCTCAGAGGAGTGGGGTTGGCTGGGTCCCTGTGGCAGGGGGCTCCCTTACCCCCATCCCCAGCCAAGAGCTGCAGCACAGGGCTGCCTGACCAGCTTTTCCCTGCACCAAGAATTGGATCGGAGTGGGGGAGAGAATATAGAGCCTCCCTCTTTGCCACATGGACCCATCCCAGCCCCCCCAAGACCAGAGCACGCAAGCTTGCGGGGGGTGGGTGGTCTGCATGGCAGAAAGGTTACATTCTGTACCCCCC